TGGGAGGGAGAGGTGGTAGCAGTGCTGCTTGGTGCGTGAGTGCTGTCCTTTATAGCGGCTGCAAGGGTGGCTGAGTATTGTGTTTTGCAGACAGACCTCATGGGCGGGGGCTTCCCTTTTGACGCTTGCGGAGAGGAAGGTTGTTTACGAAGGAGTGTCCACGTCGCGTTGAAGGGAGGTTGTACATCACGATGCTGTAGGTCAAAAGAGCTAGGGTTATGGGCCCCTTCTTCCTCGAGTGATGGCTCTTATGGTCAGTCTTGCCCATGTATGGTTTGGTGTCTCAGTGTACCGGACGCTGGCCTGATTGCTCTGATTCTGATTCTGTGAATGAATTCTCGTGAAAGAATTTTGATTCTTAGTTTGACTTTGCTTTTGAGTACTAATGATCTTGTCTAATCACGTTCCTGTTATTGTTTGTCTGATGATTGATATTCTCGAGTGTATCGAAATCCCTGATTTTAATTCTAAGTTTATGGGTTCCAATAGTCCTTTACGTTGGCTTTCTAAATTGATCTTAATTTCTTTTAATAACACTACCGTGGAAAGTTCCTATGAAATTTCCTATTAAAATTTCTGATTTTTTACAATCATGAGTCCGTTTTTGGACATCTCAAGTAAATCAAAAGAGACTTCCCAACTACCCTCGAATTCTATATCTCTGAATCTCAATTCAAAAATAATTTCTTATTGTAATTTCCTTAGCATCGATTAGTATTACGGTCATAACGATTTCCTGAACCCTAGTTCTGGAAATCAGAGTCATTCTCTCTTGTATTCAATAGGCTTCTGAGGTTTCAGAAAAAAGTCGAACCAAGGTAGAAGCTTCTATAAGCTGAACACTTTCCTCTTGTCCATCGATCGTTTCAAGACCTACCTTAAAGAGGTGTGGTCCTACTGGCAAGAACAAAAACATCAGATTCAAGACATAGTCGTATGGTTCAATAACGGCCTGGCTTTTCTAGGACGCAAGTGCAATGAATACTCTAAACTTCTCGCGGCGCGCCGCCACGCTGAAGAACCAGACCTGCAACGACAACTGCAACACATACAACAACAGGAAAACGAGACAGCAGAGGAGCAAGACGAGCTAGCCAGAACGGTCCATACCATAGAAACCCGCCTGGTCGACTGTATGGAGTACAGATGGCAAGGCGTGCGGATCCGAGGGAGACTATCCAAACATAACACGGAGGGGGCCATGGACACAAGATTCTATGCACTAGCCAAGGCTAAATCAGGCAGGACAGTAATCGAAGCCCTTAAGGACCCCGAAGACCAGCAAGGTCCCCCTCATACGTCGACAGCCGCTTGCACACAGATTGCAAGGGACTTCTATCAAACCTTGTTCACCTCGGAGTGCGGGAAGCACCCGATACACCGAAGAATGGAGGAAATCGATGACTTCCTGCGTCCACTCACCAAAACCCTCATGGAACAGCAGAGGGACGACCTAGACAAACCTCTATAGAAAGAAGAAATATGGACCGCACTGACACAAATGGAAGAAGAAAAAACTCCAGGCATAGACGAGCTTCCCAAGGAGTTCTGGGAGGCAATGTGGTCACATATATCACAAGATCTCATGGACTTCTACCAGGAGGTATGGGCCACAGGACAGACTGGGGAGCTGGTTGGGCAGGGGGTGCTGACGCTCCTCTATAAGAAAGGGGCAAGGCTTAACATAAGAAACTACAGGCCCATCACCCTGCTCAAAGTAGTCTTCAAGATGATGGCTAAAGCGCTGGCCAATCGCTTGACAGCACTGATGCCAGACATCATCCATCCAGACCAAACAGGCTTCATACAAGGTCGGAACATTCAGGGTAACATTCTTTTGGTCAACGAGACGATTAAACTGGCCAGACAATCTAGAAATAATGCGGCCATCATTTTCATTGACTTCGAAAAAACTTATGATCATGTAGATTGGGTCTTCCTAAACTAGTGTTTGCAAAAACTTAACTTCGGGCCGGACTTTAGGAGATGGATAAGGATCCTCCACTCCAGCGCAACCACCAGAGTCATGGTGAATGGCAACCTGGCCCCCCCCATCAATCTGCAAAGATCAGTCAGACAAGGAGACCCCATAGCCCCATACCTTTTTGTTATAATTATGGAAGCACTAGCTACTAATCTCAAAACTCATAAGGACATCAAAAGAATTCAGGTGTCTGCAATCCCCAAAGAGGCGATCCCGGTCTATTCACTGTTTGCAGATGACCTGACCTTGTTGGTAGATGCCTCATGGGAATTATTGGAAGAAATCCAACGTATGATGGATCGATTATGTAAACTCTCAGACATGAGTCTAAATTGGGGCAATAAAACCCAAGGCTGGTGGATCCACCATCAGGGATTGAGGCATCCAGAACTCCCCAAACTCAAATGGCTCCCAGAAGAAGCGCCCATCAGAGTGCTAGGCGTGTCAATGACGGCGGCAGGAAGGCCAACTATCAACAATGAGTGGCTAACGGACCCTCCCCTGGCCAAAATGACACTCTGGAAGAACAAACACACCTCGCTATTTGGACGCTCTCTGATAATAAATAATGTGGTACTGGCCACTCTATGGTACAAGTCAACAATTTGGGCCCTGGACAAGAAGGCCTTGCGCCCATTGAAGCGGCAAATAACAACCTTTCTATGGAGGAGCGACCATGAGAAGTTAAATGTGATTAACCGCGTGACATGGCACTCCATCATCCAACCTAAAACAAAAGGGGGGCTAGGCATTCTAGACCCGTTGGCGCAAACAAAAGCACTGGCAGTGCAATGGACCAAACGTCTGATTTTTGACCCAGCCATCCCCTGGAAAGGGTTGGCGCTGGAACAGATCTCCAGATTGGCACCCCAGACAGCCGAGGGGAGTGACCCGCGGATGTGGCTTGAAAATAGGGATTGGCCCATCCCAAGGCCTAGGCCGATCCAACAAGGCCTTGACCCCCCCTCCCCCAGACGAGCGGCAAGGGCTGACCTGCGTAACGATCCGTTCTGGCCCTCACTCCTCAAAACATGGAGGAACCTCCCCTTACCAGATAAAACCGCGCCGGACAGATGGGAGGAAGTAGCGAGGCAGCCCCTAGTTGAGGGGTACTGAGAGTGAAGGGCATCTGGGACATGGAACAGAAGGATTGGATAAACCCCGAGCAACTAAGACAAAAGTTGAGGTATTGTCACCGGCCGCAAGAAGCCCTGGAGGCGATAGTGGAAAAGATCCCCCTGGACTGGTGGAGGATCCTGCACAAAAGGCCTACCCTACAAATATTGGACTGGGTGGCAGTGGAAGGGCGACAAGGAGAAGTAGGCAGGGTGACCCGCTGTCCCCGTGGAGGAAGCGTGGAAGTACAACTCTTCCAAATGGGACCGGACAACATAATCCAAACGAGTAACCCGAAAGAAACCATGGAGTACCAAAAAGAAACTCTTTTCAAAATTAGAGTCCTCGAGGAGAATGAACAAAGCCTAGCTTTCCAACCTGACTCCCCGATCCACCACCTGGCCTTGGATCCACTGGAGTGGACATGGACAACTCGGTGGGGGAAGGGAAGGAGCATCACTAGGACATTACATGGACTAACGGTCAGATCCACCTACAGGCTGCTTAGGCCGACAATGAACCTTCGAGACCAGGCAGCGGAACGCTGGAGGAACCACTTGAATTTCAGCACAGCTGATCTCAGACCGATCAAGTGGTTCAAAATGGCCAAAGCAAAGCCGGCCAAAATCGCCTCCCTTCAATGGCAGCTGGAACATCGCTGCCTACCCACCAATAATTGGCTCATAGATAGAACCACCCTAGAACAACGACGTTGTGACCTCCCATGGTGTAAACAATGCGTCAACTCATTCCCATCCAAAAAACGACCAGAAACGATCGAACACATCTTCCTGCAATGCCCGGGGGCACTCTGGCTGTGGAGGTGGTGGGACAGAATTTGGGGGCAGCTGGAAACATTCGCCTCATGGCCTTAGGATTGGAAGGCAATCCTATTTGAAATCTGGCCCGAAACCCACACGGACCAGCTAGATGCCTTCACCGACAACATGTTCAAAACAGGACGCAGGGCGATGCTCTGGGCGTTATGGAGAAGACGATGTACATTCGAACTAGAAGGTGCCAGACTAGAAGGCCCTGAGTTCACGGAAAGCATACAGCAACAGGTTCAAACAGAAATAACAGCGGTATGGGTGGAGGTAAAAACACGAATCATACTTATTGACAGAAAACAAAATATCTTACTGAAAATCCAAGAATTCAGTTCATGTTGGCTCGGGGGACCTGATGGGGGGAGGATAGGGAAGGTAGAATGGAAAGGGGAACACCCTGAATCCGGGTTAGACCAGGGACAAAGCAAGATAGTAAGAGACTATCGTCTCATATTTAACGACTGGGCTCATGTGGATGCGGCCACCCCCCTTAAACCTGCTGGGATTTGGGGATGCTTTGGATCGGGCATTCTACCGGAAAAAACAAGGGTTGCTGTCGGGACAACGCTGGCCGGCGCTGGGGTAAGTCATGTTGCCCTGTAACCTAGCAGGGTAGGGGCAAGAGGCCTGGAGAACTCGGCAGGGAATAAGACAGTGTTAGAAATTTTAGAGTGTTTTGTGGGGGGCTCCAGGGGTCTTGAGTATTTGAAGGACTTTCAGTAATCGTTGCTTGTGTAGCCTAGTAATGGGTTCGCATGTTATCAGTTATTCGGAATGTTTTCTTAAACTTTTCCTGAACTTTTCTCATAGTTCTTAGACTGTTCTTAGCCTTCTCCTCAATTTTCAGATAAGGGACGCTGAGCCCGGTTCTCAGCAAAGTCTTGTGTTCACTTCGGGCAGACTGTGAGGACCCCGGCCTCAAACTTTCTCATGGATAATATCAGCCT